CGCACACCATGGTAGTCCCAAGTACTGGGGAGGCTGAAGCAGGAGAATTGCTTGAACCCAGGAGGCAGAGATTGCAGTGAGCCGAGATCCTGCCACTGCACTACAGCCTGTGTGACAGCGTAAGACTCTGTCGCAAAAAAAAAAAAAAAAAAAAAGAGATAAATCAAATAAGATTAGTCTTAATACTTGGCCCTAAAGGCCTATCATTCATCTTGTAAGGAAGTAAAAGTCCACAGTCTCCTACCCTCCAAAAACAGCACTGGAAGCTCCATCTCTCCGTTAACAGAAGAGCCACCCAAATTGGTTAGTGCTCCTTTTAGTGCCAAGAACAATGATGGGTTTTGCCATGCTGACACTGGCAGCCAACCACCTTTCTCTCACTACCTACTACCTATTATCTCACAACCAACGCTAAAGTCCTTTTCTATGTGGGCCTGTGGCTAAAGTGAGGTTCAGGCTGCGACCCAGGGAAAGGTCTTTTGTGGCTTTGTGAAAGGGGGCCAGAAATCTAGGAAATGAAGATTCTCCATTTGTCTACCACTACACATGGACATCACTGAACCTTTGGAACTTCGGGTTCCTCATCTGTAACCCGGGGACTATAATTTCTACCCTTCCTTCTCCTAGATTTGCTCATGTTAATGAAATTCTGGATGGGGCAAGTGTTTGGGGAACTGCGTAGTCCTGTACCCATGGGAGCACCCTGCGTGTGTGAATATTATCATCAGCTGCCTGGCTTCGTTTCCTCACCCCACATAGCTTCCTATTTTTATCTTCCTTATTGATCCACACTTTTGAACAGGGAATCATGAGCAGATTGAAGGGAAATGTTAGGTCTGGAGTTAAATTTGAGAGAGAAAATTGACCCCAGTTGTGTAGCATGTTTACTGAATTTTGACAGAGAACTATGGCCAAGAAGAGGGGCTGACCACAACCTAATGCCCAGTGGTAAGCTTTAATGTGGGAGGATTTTTTGAACTACTTCCTTTTTTTTTTTGAGACAGAGTCTTGCTCTGTCACCAGACTGGAATGTGATGGCGTGATATCAGCTCACTGCAACCTCCACCTCCCTGATTCAAGCGATTCTCCGGCCTCAGCCTCCCAAATAGCTGGGACTACAGGCACGTGCCACCATGCCTAGCTAATTTTTATATTTTTAGTAGAGATGGGGTTTCACCATGTTGGCCAGGATGTTCTCAATCTCTTGACCTCATGATCCACCCTCCTCAACCTCCCAAAGTGCTGAGATTACAGGCATGAGCCACCACACCCCCTTTTTTGTCTTTGAGTAAGTAGATGAGAGGGTGGTACTCGAAACAGGACTTCAATGTCGAATTTCTTCTTGCAAAAATTCAGGAGGAGAGCCAGTGCCTGAGGGGCATTTCAGGGAGAAGATTCAGCACAGCAAAGACACCTACTATATGCCCAGCACACATAGTTCCTAAGGTTGAAAAGGAACACAAAGACGACAGCCCCTCTCCTCCTAGAGTTTACTGGCTCCTGCTGGGAGGAGGCGTGTGTAACAGATATGCTGCTAATCTCTCTCGTCTTCTAGCACTTTATCAGACCTTCCTGTATTCCTTTTTCTTTTTTCTTTTTCTTTTTTGTTTTTTGAGATGGAGTCTCGCTGTGTTGCCCAGGTTGGAGTGTAATGGTGTGATCTTGGCTCACTGCAACCTCTACCTCTTGGGTTCAAGTGATTCTCCTGCATCAGCTTCCTGAGTAGCTGGGATTACAGGTGTGCACCACCACACCCCGCTAGTTTTTGTATTTTCAGTAGAGATGGGGTTTTCCATGTTGGCCAGGTTGGTCTTGAACATCTAACCTCAGGTGATCCACCCACCTTAGCCTTCCAAAGTGCTGAGATCTTCCAGCATTCTTAATGTATCCCTTGTAAAATTTTTATTATGTTACAAAATAGCACATTAATATCAATTTTTAAATATGCCTTTGAAAATCAAAAACACTGGAATTAAAAGGTGAAATTCCCACATCTGCTTCACCCCTAAGTATCCCCTTATATTCTCACATTGTAGGAGGAACTACTGTGAATTCTTCCAGATCTTTCTCAAGCATATACAACCATGTGTATAAAAGATGTGTATAAATGTGTATTTTGTATGTTTGGGTTCTTGTGGTTGGAGATGCATGTAGTTTTTTGCTTTTCTCAAAAATAAACTGATTTCATTTGTTTTTTGAAAAATGGGTTCATCTTGTACTTAGTGTGACGAGCATTTCATATATCACAGTAATGTATCCGAAATCCCCCTCCATGTCATTATATACAAATGGTGCTTGAGTTCTTTCAATAGCCATGGCAATATCCACTCAATAGAATTAGGATAATTTATAAACAATTATCCTCCCATGGTTTGTGCAGGTTGTTTACATTTTTTGCTACAGATAATGCTGCAGTAAACACCCTGGTGTATATGCATGTGAGCATTTCTAGGATAGATTATTAGAAATGAAATTGCAGAGTTAAAAGGAATGTGCTTTTTCAAATTTTTATAGCTATTACCAAATTCACTTCCAGTAGTATTCGTATTGTGGTATTATAACGGAATAGCCTGGTGCCAACCTGAGGTTTAAAGGTGTTTTTTTCTTTCCCCTTTCCTCCTTTCCCCTGCAGTTTCAAGCAGCCTAAGAATGTTTTCTTTCCTCCATTCTTTTCCTTTTCCCATTCTTTGCTCCCATGCCTTGTGCCATTCCAAACCCTGTCTTTAAAACCTCTGATGTCCCCTCCACAAATTGAAGAGTAAAGAAATTTGGAAGGAATTTCACCCATTCCTCCCCTTGCTCACATGGGTAATGAAAATCTCACTCTCTTTTTATCACACCTAACTCATGTTTCTTTCTACAAGTGGCAGGAAGCCAGACCACTTGCTGGTTACAGTAGATTGTTATTTTAATGTGTTTTTCCTCGGTCAGTGGGGAGGGGTTACCATGTATCATAGCTCCTAATGTTCCAGTTATATTTCCCCTCTGTGGTGAACATCTGATCTACTGCCCAGCATCTAGCCTCCTTTTTTTCTGGTAATTATTCTCCAATTTTCCTTTGGAAAACCACTTCTGCCACGCCCCCATATATATTGTTCTGGTGAGGCTGACTCTGCCCCCAATCTAGGGATGAGCCAATGACTCAATCCTGGCCATTAGGGTCACAATGATTGGTTCAGGTGTGTGCATGTGCACGGGTCCCAAATCTAGACAACAGGAGTTAGTGTCAAGACTATTCCTGGAGCTACCAGGCAAAAGGGAGAGTGGCCATGAAACCATCTGTCCTTTCTTTCCCCCTACCAAAGTAGAGTCCAATTCAAATAACCCCTAACCTCAGCTGAGGGAAAGGGCCCCAGGGACACGGCAGGGTCAAATCTCTCCATGCTTCAGTTTCTCCATCTATAAAATGAGGAGGTTGGACTCTGTGATCCCTAAGACCATTTTAGCTTGTATGATTGTAGCATGCATGAAACACAGAGAAGTACAAGGGCTTATCTAAAGTGCGGATATTATCCTGGTAGAATAGCATTGCCTCAAGAGTGGTTGTTCTGCACTGATCAGATAAAATGACAATGTCAGTATTTATCCAAATGAATTTAAAACTCATGCCAATCCAAAACATCCATGAAGATATTTATAGTAGCTTTTTTATTTATTTATTTATTTATTTGAGATGAAATCTTGTTCTGTTGCCCAGGCTGCAGTACAGTGGCGAGATCTCGGCTCATTTCAATCTCCACTTCCCAGGTTCATGTGATTCTCCTGCCCAGCCTCCAGAGTAACTGGGATTACAGGTGTGCACCGCCACACCTGACTAATTTTTGTATTTTAAGTAGAGATGGGGTTTCACCATGTTGGCCAGGCTGGTCTTGAACTCCTGATCTCAAGTGATCCACCCACCTCAGCTTCCCAAAGTGCTGGGATTACAGGCCTGAGCCGCTGTACCCAGCAAATGGTAGCTTTATTTATAACTGTGAAAACTTGGGAGCAACCAAGATGTCTTTCAGTAGGTGAATGAATAAACTGGAACATCCAGAAATGGAATATTATTCAGCATTAAAAAGAACTGAGCTACCAAGATATGAAAAAACATGGAGAGAACTCAAATGCATATTACTAAGTGAAAGAAGACAATCTGTAAGGCACGGCCTATGATTCTAGTTGTATGACATTCTGGAAAAGGCAAAACTATAGAGAAAGTGAAAAGATCAGTACTTGCCAGGAGTTAGGAAGGAGGGAGAGATGGACAGGTGGAACACAGAAGATTATCAGGTTAGGGCAGTGAAATGGCTCCATGATGTTCTTGGTAGATACATGCCATTATACATATGTCCAAACCCATAGAATGCACACCACCAAGAATGAACCCCAAAGTAAACTCTGGGTGATAATGGTGTGTCAGTATAGGGTCACAGATGTAACAAATGTACCACTCCATTGCTAGATGTCAATAGTAGGGGATGCTGTGAATGTGCAGGGCCGGGGGTATATGGGTACTCTCGGCCCTTTCTGCTTAATTTTGCTGCGAACCTGAAACTGCTCTAAAAGAATAGTCTATCATTTTTTTTTAAGACAACATTAGGTTTTGGTAGACAATTTCTAAACTGGGAACTATATTTTAGATGCTATGTCTGGTTCTGTCCTAAACATAGCGTCATTGTGTGTGCTCACTTCTCATCTCTGGGCCTCGGTTTCACAGTTTGTAGAATGAAGGTACTACTATGCCTCTAACTGTACTATGAGTCTATGATATCTATATATGTTATATGTATGCATAGCACACATACACCCACATACATATGTTTTCAGCCATGGTTTTCAACACATATGTTTTCATCCGTGGGTCCTGGCTTATAATTCCCATAGCCCTTGTTAGAGTAAAGAGGATCTCTATCTCTAGCTTTCTCCTGCCCTCCTTTCACCTGCCCAAGGCCGGGCTCTAATTCAATTGTAGGTCCTAAGACCCTTATTCCAGATGGGGGCTAGCCTGATGTCCTAGAGTAAGGAATGCTGCATAGAGACGCCAAGAAGAATCTGCACAGGCCTTACTGGGTTTAAATCATACTCTATTTGTCCAATCACATTCCAACATGGTTAGCCATGCTTCAATCATGCCTATCCAATGAAGTCTGCATAAAATACCTAAAGGGATGAGGTTCAAGGAGCTTCTGCATAACTGAACACATGGAGGCTAACAGAAAGGTGAACAAAAATTTGTCTATGCACCAAGAGGATGGCACATCCCAACTCCCCAGGAACAGATGCTCTTGTGTTCAGGACACTTCCAGACTTCACCCTATGTATCCCTTCATCTGGCTGTTATTTGTATCCTTTAAAATTGTCTTTGTAATAAGCCAGTAAGCATAAGTGTTTTCCTGAGTTCTGTGGGTCACTCTAGCAAATTAATCAAACGTGAAGAGAATGTTGTGTGAACTCCAACTTGAAGCTCATGGAGGCCTGAACTTGCAACTGGTGGGAAGGAGGAGGTGATCTTGTGGGTCTGAGCCTAAACCTGTGGTTTCAGAGGGCATCTCTAGGTAGACAGAGTCAGAATTAAGTTGAATTGGGGGACACCTAGCTGATGTCCATTGCAGAATTCATTGCTGCTTGATGTATGGGGAGAAATCCACACATTTTGTCACAGAAGTGCTGATTGTTGTTGTTGAGTGAGAAAAGAGAAAAAAGCATAGTTTGAGTTGGTGTTTTTTTCAGGAAGGAAGAAAGAAAGAAGAAAACAATGGAGGGAGACAAAAAAATCACAAGATTATTAAGTGGTAGTTAAGAGAATTAGAGAAGAAATCAGACGAGCCAAAGCCATCAGTGGTGTCCTGTTTGGGACAGAACAGTATGCTCTTTGGGAGAAGAAAATAGGTTGGCCCAGGAGCCACATCTTGGTCTTCAGTTTAGATTGAATGAGAAAAGCTCAATGTCCCAAAAGAGAGGGTTACATTTATGTGATGAGTACTAAGTGAGCACTAATTGTGTGCACAGCCTTATGGTAGGTGCTCTAACCCAACCAGGAAAGAGAAATACATGTGTGAAAATACTACAGCTTAATGGTCAATAGTTTGCTTCTGAAGCCAGACAGGTCTGGGTTTGAATACTGGCTGCATAACTACGATAGGCTGAGTAATAATCCCCAAAGATAACCATGTTTTAATGCTCAGAAACTACAAATATTACCTTATATGGGATTTTGCAGATATGAGCAAATTAAGGCTCCTGAATTGAGGGAATTGTCGAAGTGGACCCTAAATATAATCCCACAAATCTTTATAAGAGAGAGGCAGAAGGAGTTCTGACTGCCAACAAAAGATAAGAAGACCATGTGACAGAAACAGGGTCAAAGACAGAAGATGCTATGTGAAGATCAAGGAAGGGTTCATGAACCAAGGAATACAATGAATGTAGCTTGAGAAGCTGGAAAAGACAAGAAAATAGATTTTCTCCTAGAGTTTCTAGAAGGAGCATGTCCCTGCCAACACCTTGACCTTAGCCCATTGAAACTAATTTCAGATTTCCGGACTCCAGAACCGTAAAAGAATAAATACGTGTTGTTTTAAGGCACTGAGTTTGTAGCAATTTGTTACAGCAGCCATAGGAAACTGATACAGATTTTTGCACTGGAAGTGTAGTGTTGCTGTAAGAAATATCTAAAAATGTGGAAGTGGCTTTGGAATTGGGTGATGGGCAGAGGCTGCAAGAACTTTGAGGCATATGATACAAAAAGCCTTGAGTTTTTTGAATAGGCAGCTGATAGAATTATGGGTGTTAAAAACTTAGGCAGTGAGGACTCAGGAGAAGTGAAGAGAATGATAGAGAAAGCCTATATTAGCTTACAGAATTCCTATATTGTCATAAACGACTGTTGGTAGACATATGAACACTAAAGGTGCTGCTGGTGACAGCTAAGAAAGAAATAATAAATATGTTATTAGGAACAGGTAGAAAGGGGATCACTATGAACTGATATTTGTATTCCCAAAATTCATATGTTGCCTTTAAATCCCAATGAAACTACATTTGAAGATAAGGAGGTAATCCAGGTTAAAGGAGTTCATAAGGGTAGAATTCTCATCTGGCAGGATTGCTGGGCTTATGAGAGAAGGGGAAGAGAGAGAGCTCTCTTTCTCTTTTCATATACACACACCAGGGAAAGACCATGTGAAGACACAGCTAGGAGGCAGCTGTCTGCAAGCCAGGAAGAGAGCTCTTACCAGAAACCAAATCAGCCAACGCCAGATCCTGGATTTCCCAGCTTCTGTAACTGTGTTAGTAAATACATGTTGTTTATGCCACCCAGTCTATGGTACATTCTTATGAACAGTCCAAGCAGACTAAGACAGGGATTCTTACATAGTGACAAAATACCTATATACATTATATTCATATATATTCAAATGTTTATCCAATGGTATATGCTTATTTATCCTTTTTACATTCTGGTAAAATTGGCCTTTGAAAACACTGGCATTAATAAGAATAGTAAGAATGCAGCACTTAATAAAAATGCCAAGTATGGTGAGATATGCATAAATATTGGCAGAAAAATATTTTTTAAAAAACTATATTAAAGATTCCTCCAAGGGACTCCTAGACTTGATGAATGACTTCAGTAAAGTTTCAGGATGTAAATTTAATGTACAAAAATCAGTTGCATTTTTATACATGAACAATGTTTAAGCTGAGAACCAAATCAAGGATTCTATCCATTTATGAAAGCCACACAAATACACAAATACCTAGGAATGCATTCAACCAAGGAGAACTACAAAGCACTGATGAAAAAAATAGCACAAACAAATGGAAAAACATCCCATGCTCATGGATTGTAAGAATTAATGTTGTTAAAATGACCATACTGCCCAAAACAGTCTACAGAGTCAATGCAATTCCTATCAAATTACCAATGTAATTTTTCACAGAATTAGAAAAACAATTAGAAAATTAATATGGAACCAAAAAAGAGCTTGAATACCAAGGCAATCGTAAGCAAAAGTACAAAGTTAGAGGCATCACATTAATTGACTTCAAAGTATACTACAAGGCTACAGTAATCGAAAGAGAATGGTACTAGCACACAAAGAGACTCATGGATCAATAAAACAGAATAGAGAACCCAGAAATAAAGCAACATACCTACAACCAACTGACCTTTGACGAAGTCAACAGAAATAAGCAATGTGGAAAAGACTCCCTCTTCCATAAATGATACTGTGTAACTGGCTAACGGAAGAATAAACCTGGACCTCTGTCTCTCACCATATACAAAAATTAAATAAAAATGGATTAAAGACTTAAATGTACACCTAGAACTATAAAAATCTGATAATAAAAGCTAGGAAAACCTCTTCTGGACATTGACCTAGACAAAGAATTTAGGTCTAAGACTGCAAAAGCAAATTCAGCAAAACCAGAAATAGACAAATGGCACTTAATCAAAGAGCTTCTGCAGAGCACAAGAAACAATCCACAGAGTAAACAGACAGCCTACAGAATGGGAGAAAATATTTGTAAACTATGTATTCCACAAAGGACTAATATTCAGAATCCAGAAGAACTCAAATCAGTAAGAAAAAACAAGTAACCCTGTTAGAGTGGATAAAGGACATGAACAGAAATTTATCTAAAGAAGACATACGGTGGCCAACAAACATATGAAAAAATGCTTAATATTACTAATCATCAGGGAAATGCAAATTAAAACCACAGTTAGGTATCATCTTACCCCAGTTAGAATGGTTCTTATTAGTCAAAAACTAACAGATGCTGGTGAGCGTGTGTAGAAAAAGAAATGCTGACACACTGTTGATGCGAGTAAATTAGTACATCTCCTATGGATTGGAAAACAATATGGAAAACAGTATGGAGATTTAGTAAAGAACTAAAAATAGAACTACCATTTGATCTACCAATTCCACTACTGGGTATCTACCCAAAGGAAAATAAATTGTTATATCAACATTAGGAGAAATACCTAATGTAGATGATGGGGAGGATGGATGCAGCAAACTACCATGGCATGTGTATACCTATCTAACAAACCTGCACATTCTGCACATGTACCCCAGAACTTAAAGTATAATAATATAAAAAAGAAATTGTTATATCAAACACACCTTCAGTTGCCTGTTTATTGCAGTACTATTCACAGAAGAGTCATGGAATCAACATAAGTGTCCATCAATAGTTGGTTGAACAAATAAAATATGGTATATATACACCATTGAATGCTATTTATCCATAAAAAATATAAAATCATGTCCTTTGCAGAAGCATGGATAGAGCTAGAGCCCATTATCTTAAGTGGAATAACGCAGAAACAGAAAACCAAATACCACATGTTCTCACTTGTAAGTGTGAACAAAAAATGGGTACACATAGACATATGGAAAAGATCACGAACAGTGGAGACTCCAGAAGGGGAAAGAGCAGGAGGGAAGTGAAGATTGAAATATTATCCATTTGGGTACCACAGTCACTATTTTGATGATGGGTACACTGGAAGCCCAAACCTTACTATTACACAATATATGCATATAACAAACCTGCACTTGTACCCCTGAATCTACAATAAGATAAAAATTTATATTAAACACTCTTTAACATCTTTGATATTGTATTTATGAAAGTAAGTTTTTTTTTATTGCATTTTAGGTTTTGGGGTACATGTGAAGAACATGAAAGATTGTTGCATAGGTACACACATGGCAGTGTGTTTTGCTGCCTTCCTCCCCATCACCTATATCTGGTATTTCTCCCCATGCTACCTCTCCCTAACTTCCCACCCCCCGCTGTCCCTCCCCTATTTCCCCCCTACAGACCCCAATGTGTGATGCTCCCCTCCCTGTGTCCATGTGTTCTCATTGTTCAACACCCACCTATGAGTGAGAACATGCTGTGTTTGATTTTCTGTTTTTGTGTCAGTTTGCTTTGAATGATGGTTTCCAGCTTTATCCATGTAGTTTGAAAGTTAGATGCAGTATAGAAGTTGCTCAACTTAAATACAAAATAATTTTAAAATAACAGTTATTACATTAAATGGACTTTTATAAAAAATACATTTCTCAAATGAAAGCATTTCTTTTTTGCTGATAAATTAATTGATATGTGGAAAGTTTTTCTCTAAAATGGATTTGGATATAAGACTCTAAAAATTTATTTTGGTTAATTTTTACCCAGGATTGTCTTGTAACTGATTTATTATTAATAATTTCCTGTGTGTCCCTTGCATAAATAATTGAGATTGGGAGAAAATCACACCTTGGATATGTATTAGTCTATTTTCATGCTGCTGATAAAGACATACCTGAGACTGGGCAATTTACAAAAGAAAGAGGTTTATTGTACTTACAGTTCCACATGGCTGGGAAGCCTCACAATCATGGCAGAAAATGAAAGGCACATCTCATCTCATATGGCAGCAGACAAGAGGAGAGAACTCAGGCAGGGAAATTTCCCCTTATATAATCATCAGATCTCATGAGACTCGTTCACTATCATGAAAACAGCACCGGAAAGACTTGGCCCCATGATTCAATTATCTCGCAACACATCCTTCCCACAACACGTGAGAATTCAAGATGAGATTTGGGTGGGGACACAGCCAAACCATGTCATTCCTCTCTTGCCCTTCCCAAATCTCATGTCCTCACATTTCAAAATCAATTATGCCTTCCCAACAGTCCCCCAAAGTCTGAACTCATTTCAGCATTAACACAAAAGTCCACAGTCCAAAGTCTCATCTGAGACAAGGTAAGTCTCTTCCACTTATGAACCTGTAAAATCCAAAGCAAGTTAGTTATTTCCTAGATACGATGGGGGTGCAGGCATTGGGTAAATACAGTCATTCTGAATGGGAAAAAATGACCAAAATCAAAGAGATTACAGGACCCCTGCAAGTCTGAAATCCAGTGGGGCAGTCAAATTTTAAAACTCCATAATGATCTCCTTTGACTCCATGTCTCATATCCAGGTCACGCTGATACAAGAGGTGGGTTTCCATGGTTTGAGGCAGCTCTGCCCTGTGGCTTTGCAGGGTACAGCTCTCCTCCTGGCTGCTTTCACAGGCTGCCATTGCCTGTGGATTTTCCAGGTGCACAGTGCAAGCTGTCAGTAAATCTACCATTGTGGGGTCTGGTGGATAGTGGCCCTGTTCTCACAGCTCCACTAGGCCGTGCTCCAGTAGGGACTCTGTGTGGGAGATCTGACTCCACATTTTCCTTCTGCACTGCCCTAATAGAGGTTCTCCATGAGCGCCCCACCCCTGCAGTAAAATTTTGCCTGGGCACATGGGCATTTCCGTAGATCCTCTGAAATCTAGGTGGAAGTTTCCAAACCTTAATTCTTGACTTCCATGCACCCCCCAGGCTCAACACCACATGGAAGCTGCCAAGGCTTGGGACTTCCATCTCTGAAGCAAAAGTCCAAGCTGTACCTGGGCCTCTTGTAGCCATGGCTGAAGGGGCTGGAATGTACCAAGTCCCTAGATGGTACACAGCAGAGGGACCCTGTACCTGGCCCATGAAACCACTTTTTCCTCCTAGGCCTCCAGGCCTGTGATGGGAGGAGCTGCAGTGAAGACCTCTGATATGCCCTGGAGTCATTTTTCCCATTGTCTTGGGGATTAAAATTCAGCTCCTTGTTACTTATGCAAATATCTTCAGCTGGCTTAAATTTCTCCTCAGAAACTGGGATTATTTTTCTATCACATTGTCAGTCTGCAAATTTTCCAAACTTCTATGTTCTGCTTCCCTTATAAAATTGAATGTGTTGAACAGCACCCAAGTCACAACTTGAATGCTTTACTGCTTAGAAATTTCTTCTGCCTGATACCTTAAATCATCTCTCTCAAGTTCAAACTTCCACAGATCTCTAGGGCAGGGGCAAAATGTCACCAGTCTCTTTACTAAAACATAACAAGAGTGAACTTAGCTCCAGTTCCCAAAAAGTTACTCATTTCCATCTAAGACTACCTGAGCTTGGATTTCATTGTCCATGCTATTATCAGCATTTTGTCAGAGCCATTCAACAAGTCTCTAGGGTGTTCCAAACTTTCCCACATATTCCTGTCTTCCAAGCTCTGCAAACTGTTCCAACTTTTGTCTGTTACACAGTTCCAAAGTCGCTTCCATATTTGTGGGTATGTTTTTAGCAGCACCCCACTCTACTGGTACAAACTTACTGTATTAGTCCATTTTCACACTGCTGATAAAGACATACCTGAGACTGGGTAATTTATACAGGAAAAAGCGTTCAATGAACTTACAGTTCCACATGACTGGGGAAGCCTCACAATCATGGCAGAAGGCAAGGAGGAGCAAGTCACATCTTATGTGGATGGCAGCAGGCAAAGAAAGAGCTTTTACAGGGAAACTTCTACTTTCAAAAACATCAGATCTCATGAGACTTATTCACTATCATGAGAACAGCAAAGAAAAGACCATTCCCCCATGATTCAGTTACCTCTCTCTGGGTCCCTCCCACAACACATGGGAATTCAAGATGAGATTTAGGTGGGAGCACAGCCAAACCATATCAAGTCTATGCAAATAAATGACAAATTGTGATGGCAAAACCGGAAGTGTTACTAATGTGTAATTATGACATTGATCACTAAGAAAAATCAATGAAACAATGGCAAATAAGCACATAAAAAGATATTCAACACTGCTAGACTTTAGGAAAATACCAATTAAAACCACAGTAGAAGACACTTAGAAAGTCTAACATGAAAAGGAATGGCTGCGCTGACCTTGATCAGGCTATGGAAACCTGAACACTCACATCCTGCTGGTGTGACTATAAAATGGCACAGTCATTTTGGTAAAGAGTTTGGTAGTTCCTCAAAAACTGTAACATACACTTTCCATATGACTCAGAAACCCCATTTCTAGGTATTTACTCAAGAGAACCAGAGGCACATATCCATACAAAGATTATACACAAATGGCCACAGCAGCTTTATTTGCAATTGTCCCAAACTGGAAAAATAACACAAATATCCGTTAATACATGAGTGGATAAACAAAACATGATATATCCATGCAATGGAATACTACACAGCAATAAAAAGGAATAAACTAGTGAAGCATGCCACAGAAGGGATGAAGCTTAAAACAACTATGTAGAATGAAAATTTCATTTATATCAAATTCTAGAAAATACAAACTTGTCAATAATGGTTGAAAACAGATTTGCACTTGGCTTGGGATGGAATGAAGTGGAAGGGATGGGAAGGAAGGATTTCAAAGGGGCAGAAAGAAACTTTGTAGATGGAAGTATACAAACCTGTCAAAATTATCAAAGTGTATACTTTAACCACATACAGTATTCTGTATGTTAAATATACCTCAACAAAGCTATTAAAAGTACAAATTAAAAAATAGTAAAATCTGAAATATACTAGAAAATATTGGCTACATACCCACAAATGGAAAATAATGGTTTCGAGATTTTATGGTATAGTGCCCCATTTTATCAACTAAGAGTCATTTGTTTTCATAGGATAAGACCCATGGTCTGTTCCGTCTTATGCATGACCTGCTCCGTGCCTGTGCATTGAGTTTATCTTGCTTGGTTTCCCTGAGCACAGGCTGCTCATAGCCAGTGACTCTTGTGTCCTGGATAACTGCAGCATTACACTGTTCCCGGAACCAAGTCAGGCATTCTGAAATCTTTGCTCCTTTCTGTTTGTACCTGAGACTCTTGCAGTTCTTAAAAAAAAAAAGAAAGAAAAGGAAAGAAAAGAAAAAGAAAGAAAAGAAAGCCAATATGCACAACTAATTTTTTTATACCTAATTTTAGGGTTTATTTTCTCAAGGTGTTTAAGCAAGGCTGGCCATGAAGGGTGAAGTCCTTTCACTGTCTTGGGCCTAGCGATGCCCGCAGAGGGCAGACAGAGGAGGGGGATGCTGGCGGTGTTTCTTGCTGGAGTTAAATACGTCGCTTAGATTTTGGTCCCACAGGACCACACACCCATGAGACTATTGAGCAGCATATGCTACCTGAATGGGGCAATAGTGACTAAAGAGTGTTGACATCACACTCTGTCCTGCCCAGGAGAAGCAGAGGCAGGAATGTGTCCCGCCAGGGGGCTGGTTCTCTGCAGTTCATCTGTGAGTAACGAGCCAGCCATTGAGACTGCCCCCTGGCGAGTCTATGTGTTCTCTGAGGAGTCTATGTGTTCCTGGGACAGGCCTGTGGGTGGCATCTCTCTGTCTCTGGACTCTCCTCCATCCCTCTTGGGGCTGGCACTGCCTGCAGGGCTGTGTGTACCATGGTCTTGAAGCACCTGCTGCCTTGCTCTTCCCACAGATGCCTACACCCACCCTGAGAAGCCTGCCTGGCGGGCCTTTCTGTGGCGGCCTGCAAGGTCAGGGTGAAATGGTAGGGAGGGGAGTCTGCGACCCCTGTGGCTGGGCAAGCCCACAGGAGGCAGAGCCAGGGAGCAATCAAAGCCCACAGGGCTCCTTCCATGGTGCTGGCTTCCAGAAATCTGGGGGAAAGAGACACTTTCATTCAACTATTATCTCACAAATTAAAAAAGAAACAAGCAGATTAAGTTAGACTTGCTGAGTTTTAATTCAAATTATTTATTCAAAATATAGAATTTCTTTGCTTCTACCATCAGTCCCCACCCAAGGCTTCTCCACTGTGGCCCCTCCGAGCAGGTGCAGGCTGGGCTGGTTTGAGGGCCTCTCTGGTGCCCTGGACTCACAGAGAAGGATGTATTGGAGTGGGGAGGCCAGAATCTGAGCCTCACCCCAAAGTTCCAACAGAGAGGGCTTTGAGATCTGGCTTCTCTCCAGAGGGTTTTGCCAGCTCTTGTTTCTTGGGGATGTAAAGCTGGAGATAGAAATATAAGAAAAGAGAGCTTAGAAAACCGAGGTCAGCGAGAGCTCAGAAGAACCCGAGCGTGGGTAAGGCAGAGCTCGTGCTGGGAGCATGGTTCTGGGAACCTCTAGTTGCTTCATCTTATTTTCTGCCTCGCCAGCGTAACCCAGCTGTGACCCTGGACAGAGGCCTGTGGAGGCAATTATTTTTCAAAGGAATTTAGGATTGCTCCATTTCATAAATTTTGGTAGGTAAATTCTTTTTCTCATATGCGCCCCAAAACTAATGCCACTTTATTGGCAAATCCCTGAATTCAGCCTTCCCCCTGACTACAGTGACTGCCCCAGGCATGAGCTGTTCCTGCTGTCTCCTTGTGGGAACAGTCTGGACTTGAGCTAGCTGCTCTGTGTGCATCTCAGGTCCGCCCTTTGTAGCTCTGGCTCCTCTCCTGATCCAGACCTGGCCAGGCCATGCTGACGTCACGCTTTGCAGACTCCTTCCTACAGAGTGTCTCCTTTCCACATTTTTAGACACACGGAGAAGAAGAGAGGTCCTCAGGCTCTTAGCTCTCCTCTGTGGTTCTAGACAGTTATTCCAGCACGACTCCACAGCAGTCCTTCTCTTTTCAGTCCTCTACATCTGATTCTGTTACCCTCTGAAAATGACTGATGGCCTTGGCCTGTTGACCTTTAGCATATTCTGACCACACAGGCGCCTTCCCCACATCACAGGCCAGAGATGCAGGGTGAGAAATGGACAGAAGTCTTGCAGCACGAAAGTCATGAAGCTTTGCTCCTGGGTATACCACACACTCACACGTTCTGTCCTTGGCCGGACAATGTCTGTCTGGCTCTCAAAGCAGGAAGCATCCCCCTTTCAAAGGCTGACCCTTCCAGTTGGCATCTCTGTCTTCTTTAAGATCTTACTCTCTTTGTTTTGCCTTTTGTCTCTCTGTTACCTTAAAATTCTCCCTCACCACTTGATCTTTCTCTGTGTCTACAGATACAGTCAAGTATTTCACTTGAGAAGTAAAAGGGTTTGTCTTACCCCGAGATGTCAGGAATTAATTCTAACATCAAAATTATGGTCTTTTGTCTGGTAACCACCTCAAAAAGTCCACATCTGTCCTTTGAATTTTTGGCAGTAGTCACATGTTTGGTTTCTTGATTTCCATTTGTGCCACTCCATTCTATTCCTCAAATGTCAACATAAATGATCTCCTTAAAATATACATTTAATATGTCACTTTCTGGCTTAAAATAGCCCAATGTGTTCTAACTACTTTCAGAATAAAAACACGTGTGAGTCCCATTCCGGCAGGGAGTGGGGCTGTGCCTGGTGCTTCCCTAGACTCTGTGCTCCTCTAGGGTGCTAGGTGTCCTGGATCACCCCTGTAATCCCAGTACTTTGGGAGGCCAAGGTGGGAAGATCTTCTGAGTCCAGCAGTTAGAGACCAACCTGGGCAACCTGGAGAATGCTGTAGTCCCAGTTACTCAGGAGGCTGAAGCGGAAAGCTCACTTGAGCCCAGGAGGTCAAGACTGCAACAAGCCATGACTGTGTCACTGCATTCCAGCCTGGGTGACAGAGCAAGAGACTCTGTTGAGAGAGAGAGAGACAGAGAGAGAGAGAGAGAGAGAGGAAAGAAAAGAAGGAAAGAAAGAAAGAGAGAGAGAGAAAGAAAGAAAGAAAGAAAAGAAGGAAAAGAAAGAAAGAAAGAAAGAGAGAGAAAGAAGAGAGGGAAAGAGGAAGGGAGGAAGGAAGGAAGGAAAAATCTCCTCTATGTGAGCCACACCAGTCTACTGTGATTATGCAGATACAGAGAGTTCTTTGCTCCCCAGAGACTTCACATTTGCTATTCTCTGTCCAAGAGTACTGTTCCCATCAGTCCTCTTGGAGTGTCCCCCCATCCTGCCGCCCTCCAATTTTACAGAACATGCTTCATCCCTTTCTAGCACTTACTTATCACAAGATAGAACTTATTAATTAGCAAAGTGGTCTAACTTCTGTCCCTTCCCCTAAAATGTCAGCTCCATGAGGGCAGTAATTCTTTCTTTTTGGTTCACACTTGTGTTCCTTGTACACAATTAACATGTTATCTATTGTGCTAAACACATTTGGTATAAAATTCATTGAACAATAGGTTAATAAATGAATGGATGAACTAATGAACCCTCTGACCTCAAGTAGCCATATGCTGTGTGCCAAATGCCCCTTGATCCCTGCTAACTAACTCTGCTGTCATTCGCTGAATGCTCACTCTCCTCCATTCCGTCATTTCAACTTGAGCTGATTTTTAATGCACAGACTCTATCTCATCTATTCTCTTTGCCCATGTCCTCGTCACTTTAGACGAAGGTCATCTTCCCTTTCCTCTGAGTCATGGTATATCACCTTGTACTATTTATGAGAAGGTAATTTTTTATGAAAATACACTTTATTCTCTCAGCTGGATTTTGAGCCTTGAGGACAAAAGCCACGTTTAATATCTTTTTAATTTCCTAGAGCTCTTTGGCACTGTGATGGTGGACTGATAGATTTGAAAAGGAAGACTCTGCCTGAGTTCACTTCCATCCAGATGAAATAACTTGCATGAGATGAGTACCTGTGACTTTCTTAATCTGTATATATTTTTCTTTGCGATTTCCTTGTACTGTGATGGAAAAGAGGGATACTTTAACATAGCAGATGATATGCAATGTCCTTAGCAGGTGTGAGAAATATAGGCTGACATGGTGTGTAAGGATGAGGTGTCAGCAATCCCGAGGGTTCCATCTTCAGAGGGGAAATCATTTCTCTTTTCTTTCTAACCTCATTAGTGAAGTTAAAAGCTGCTTACCCAAGAACATCAGTGAAGGGCAGTCAGGTGAGGAAGGAACGTGTTTCCAAGTTTGAATCAGAAGAGGTTCCTGAGTGGGGGCTCAGGACATCACAGTGCAGTCTGGTCTCCACACAGGGCTTCAATGCTTGTTTCTGTGGACATGGCAATGGTGCTGCCCAGTGAGTTTGTTCAGGATGTTGCAATCATGTAATGATGTGGTCAGGGTGAGGATGTAGTCATAATGAATTCAGTGCCGCTCAGTGTTGGAGAAAAAAGTTTTGAACTGAATCCAAATGGCTTTGTAGCTTAGCTGTGATTCAACTAGGATGAATAGCAGAAACCCCTTGTTACAGCTCCAGTGCTCGGGAGTCTGTGGGGTCTAATCAAATCATTCTTGAAGAAGGTATGAAAGGCCAGTGCTGAGAATTGAGGATTAAAATGTAACACAAAACAGAGACATTTTGGATGAGTTAGCAATTGAGATACAAGGTCAGAAACCATGATTTCAAAAAGGCAACAGGACTTCATCCAATATGAACCAGCTGGGCTAAAGCCACTCAAACTAGAGTTGGAAGCAAATGTGAAGACAGAAGTCAGAAGAAGGGACAAGACAAACATGAATGTGAGAGAAGAAATTCCCCAGGCTTCCTGCTTCTCTCTAAGAGAAGAGAGGCTGAAGGAATTTGTCTGTTACCATGCTATCCCCCCAAAACGTTTACCTATTGAGAAAAATTCAGTCTATTCATTTGATCAACACTTTATTGAGAAGCAAGTGTGTGCCAGGCACAATACGTGTCATGTGACATTCTTCAGTTAACAGAATGGAGAGAGAATGCTGTCCTCCAGGAGTTTATATCCTAAAGGAGGTGGTAGAGGCTTACAGACACAAAGCAATGAAAACATAATACATGTAGATTATAGTATGTTAAGAGACAATGAATGCTGTGAAAAAATACATAAAGAGCAGGGAGGGATGGTTTGAATGCCGAAATTAGAGAGAGGAGGGACTTGCAATGAACAACTCATTGAAATGTGCATGTGGACCTATTACATTTTTCTCACGATTTTCCCTTTTCAGGGTGTCAACTACTTTGGGCTAGAACATGGGCTAACAAAACACTGTCGTGATTGTCGGTCTTCATCTAACCCAGGCCAGCTTGTTTTTCACAGAGAAAAATGTCTGTGGCCTAAATGCGTATGATGACACTAGAGTGGATCAAAAGAAAGTGTAAAAACCGTGGCCTAGGTGGCAAAAGCCATCTTCAATGGCATTAGTAGCAGGTCACATATACTATTGGTTCTCAGGGTTCCCTTCCCTGGTGGGAACATTGTAAAGTTGACCTGGTGGTTATAGGTCCCAGTGGACTTGAGTATGAAGGAGAAATACCTGTGACTCTCAACCTCATTTCTACAACCTGAAGGGACATTTAATTTGAGTTATGTTTATTGTCCGCTGCCATTAATCACTAAAGGACTGTTTCCAAATGGATTGTTAAACAAACTGAGTCCGTGTTTTATCAGTGGAACCAGACCGTTGTGACACAAGGACTCTGATGGGCACGATGGGAACAAGATCATGGTTTGGAACAGGTGGGTAGAAAAGAGATCTTGTTAACCCCAGAGCTAAGGACCATGGCCAGACGTGCACATGCTCACATCATGACTGTGTGAAACTAGAAATGTGGAGGTGAAATAGATTCCAAAGGGCAGCCTGTGGCTCTCCCTGATGTACTCTGGATGGTATATTTTCAGAGGCCTGTGTCTTTGGGATATTATTCATGTCATTGCTATTGCCTGACACATTACCTGAGTGGAAACATTAGTTTCTGTGGAATAAGTCTGACATTACAGGCAGGTGAAGAGGCTCATGAGATCATGATAATATACTGACAGGCAGTCACCTCAATATTTGGGATGGAACAGTAAGTCAGGAATAGAGGCTGGATGGGCCCTGAGCAGGGTTTTTGGCCTGGCATGGTCCTGCCTTAGACCTGCATAGGGTCTTGGTCTAGCTCTAACAGAACACCACAGACTAGGTGGCTGTAAACATCAGATATTTATTCCTCACAGTTCTGGAGCCTGGGAAGTCCAAGATCAAGGTGCTGGCAGGTTTGGACTTCGGCCAGACACACTTCCTGGTTCGTAGATGCTCCTCTTTTGGCTGTGTCCTCACATGGTGGACAGGGGCAAGGAAGCACTCTGGGGTCTCTGAGGGCACTAATTACATTCATGAGGACTCCACCCTCACCACCTAATCACCACCCAAGGCCTCACCTCCTATGCCATCAACCTGGGGGGCGAGAATTTCAACATAGGAATTTGGGGCAGCTGTAAACAATGGGTCCATTGCAAAGGTGAAGTTCTGAGCCGGTGGTACCAGAGGCTGAGTAGGGGAGACATCGCTCTAGGAAAGATACAGCTCCTGGGCTGTTTCCCTTCCCATTTGCTCCTTTTCTCCCATAACCCCTGTCATAGTTAATTTTATGTCAACTTGACTGAGCCATAGGGCGCCTTGACATTGGGTCAGGTATTATTCTGGGTGTGTCTGTTTTATACAAGATGAACATTTGAATCCATAGACTGAGTAAAGCAGATGACCCTTCCCAATGGCACTGGGCCTCAGTCATCAGTCAAAGGCCTGAATGGATCAAAAAGTCTGACCTCCCATGAGAAACAGGGAATTCTTCCTCCTGCCTGCCTTGAGTGGGGACATTGGCTCTTCCTGACTTCAGACTATGTTGACATGGGACCCCTGGGTCCCCAGCTTGCCAACTGCAGGTAGAAGGGCATGTCAGCCTCCCTAAGTGTGGAGCCAATTTTTTACAATAACCCTCTTTCCATCTATCCTAAGGGCTCTATTTCTCTGGAGAACTCTGGCAAATACAACATCCCTATTATTTCATCTTTTTCTGACATATTTAAACTTTAAGTTTGCTATTGCATGAAGAAATGTGTGGGTAAGATTTTGTGTAATTGGGGGATTATAATAACCCAGTCAGCTTTCAGTCAATAGTGTCCACTAGAAGGAAAGAAAGATAAATCCTCAGGTGGGTTGGAGGTACTAGCTTGGTCTTGTATCAGGAAGGGATGCCTGTAAAGGGGAAAGGCATGGCAGCAGGGAAAGGTGAGAATCGCAAATGTGAGGAAAACAGCCCATAGATTTTCTGAATAAAGTTGGTCAAAGCTACTTATATAGCTTAAAGAAATGACTTCCCAGGTGCGGAGGCTCATGCCTGTAATCCCAGCACTTTGGGAGGCTGAGGTGGGCAGATCACCTGAGGTCAGGAGTTGGAGACCAGCCTGGAAAAACTCCATCTCTACAAAAATACAAAATTGACCAGGCGTGGTGGCACATTCCTGTAATCCCAGCTACTCAGGAGGCTGAGACAGGAGAATCACTTGAGCCCGGAAGGCGGAGGTTGCAGTGAGCTGAGATCACACCATTGCACTCCAGCCTGGCAACAAGAGCGAAACTCCATGTAAAATAGAAGAAATGACGTGCATTTAAACAGACACTGTGTGTGTTGTACTGCTGCAGATACAGCTAGAGAAAGGGAGAGTTAGAAGAAAGCCTTGAATTTCAGACTCAGCCTCTCAGAGTGAAGCTGCCCCCCTTAAATACAAGTCCTGTGTGGGCAGTGGACCCATCATCTCGCCACAACCAGAGTCACAGCAGTGCTTGCCACCCCTGCAGCCTCTGTTCCTCCCCTTTTTACCCATATTAGGAGCCTCTCCAAGGTCAGGACCCCACCTTTGCACTCTGTATCCCACTCACAGTCTCTTGAACTACTAATTTATTCCTCTCTGCAGAATTATTCCTATCAGGATGCAAACATGTTCTAACATTGCCCTTGAAAAGCCCCCTTTCTTACCTCAAGTGCCCTTCCAGGTAAAATTCTAATCGTCTGTTCCCAGTCATAGCAAGACCTTTCTAGAGAACTGCCTGAGTTTTTGTCTTCAGTTCTTCACCTCTGATTCCCTCTGCAGCCCAATCTGATACAGCTGCATTTCTCAGTGTGCCACTGAAACAGCTTCTGTGAGGACACTGTGGCCATGTGGCCAGAGACTGTGGTCACTCCTTTTATCAGTGCACTGTTGATAGTTCAGTCATGTCTGACGCAGTGGACAACTTCTTTCATCTAGAGCAGCAGTTCTCGAATGAGTCTAATTTTGCCCCCCTGGGGTGCCTTGGCCATGCCTAAAGGCATTTTTCATTGTCCCTGATAGTGAAGGGAGAACTCCTGTATCTGGCGTGTAGAGGCCAGGGAGTCCCCACGACAAAGTCCCCTCTGGCTCAGTGTGTCAGAGGTGCCAATGTTTCCTTTCATTTGCAGCTGCCTGATGAGTTCACAGGGTCTGCCTCGGTCCCATGTGCTGGCTTGTCTTTTAGATAACCCCTGGATATTTGGTTTGTATAAGGCTTGGTCTGTACGTCATTCTCTATCTGCATTCTCTCCATAGGTCAGTGAATACATTTTCATGTTTTAAACTATGAGTATGCTGATGACTCTAGTTCAAAACACCCTGATGACCTCTAGATGCATATGTCTAATTGCTTACTTGGTATTGCTATTTGAATAAGAGACATCAGAAACTTAATATGTACAAAATAGAAGTGGGATTGCTCTGCTAAACCCACAGCTCCTTCTCTGCTTTCCCACTTCCCAGTGAATTGTACCACAACTTGCCCAGTGCATAAAGCTCTACGTATCCTCCTGGATTCCTCTCTTTCCAGAGTGTCCTATAGTGAATACATCATCCAGTCCTGGAGTCCCTTTATAAAGTATTTCCTGCTCTATTTATAAAACATTTCCTTTAATTGAATTTTCTCCAGCTCCATGTCTGCTCATCCAAGACACCATCACATAAACATTGCCTGTATCACTGCAGTTGCTTTGGGCTCATCATTCTGCTTCTGCTCTGGCCCTTTTGCAACCTACTCCCATATAGCATCCCTAAGTATATTTCAGAATTGTAAATCACACTCATGTACAGTGGCTCCCATTGCACTCATAAAAAATACTCCATCTCCTTCCTGGGCCCGCGGTCCTGAATGGTCAGGCCCCTGCCCGTCTCTCTCACAGTGTTCACCATGTGTCAGCAACCATGGTACTGATGTCAGGAATAGCCCCAAATATTGCCCATTCTGGATTCGTGGCTCTGCAACGTGATCTTGAAGCTCCTCCCATGAAGAGATGACATCCGTTTGTCTACCCCATGGATCGGCTTGGCCCTGTGACTAACTCTCACTCAAGGAATGCAGCAGAGGCGATATGGTGTCACTCCTGAGTCCAGGAAACAACAGGCCAAGTGTGCTTCTGCCAGCCCTTCTGGGTTACTATCCAGCCCCCATAGTGCTGCCCACTGGAGGATGAGAGACTATATGGAGGAGAGAGGAGCTGCCCCAGCCAAGGCCATGCAAGAGCCAGCAGCTGATCACTAGTACACCAGTGAGCCCAGAGAGGGCCAGAAGAGCAGCCCATCCACACCTGCCCAAATTGCCAACTCTCAGAAGTGTCAGCCAGTCAAGGTTTGCTGTTTTAAAATACTTAAATAGATTATTATATAGCCTATCTTCTGGCCTGACCCAGGCCCAGAAGCCTATAGTGAGGAAGAAGGTGTGGTGTGCTTTTACCTTTTTGCTATGAGTTGGGAGAGGAGAAGAGTCCTGGGAATGTCAAGGCCTTGGTTGACTGGTGCCCTTGAAATCTGGCATCGATGTGCTGGTGTTTGGGACTTGCAGGCCAAACCTGTGGTCCTTTCAAGACAGCCCATCCCTTTGTTGTACCTCGAGGTGATGCGTCCTCTCATCTGCATCTTGGGGTACACTTCACGTGGACCCTTTCTGTGGATATCACCTGTCCCTGGAAGGCTATGGTTTGGGATGAACTCTTTATGACAGTTCATGGGCTACTTTCCATGGTGATCATGCTGGCCCATGTGGGGCACTTGGCCAGCCACTGTCAAGGAATTCATCTTTCCTTGCTATTCATCACAGATATCTCCATCCACCTGTTGCCTTTACATATTTTCTCATGAGGGTCAGGTACTCAGTCTATATGTCTGTTAAATGTTATGGGATGAAGGCTGTACTCTCCTTAGGAGAAATACAACCTTAGCCTGGGTTGGGGCAAAGGACACTGAACTCTTAAAAACGCTCTCCAAGAAAACCTTCACCATCAGAGTTTTTCCTCCCTTCTTGATCAGTCTCCTGAACACAGGCTAAGAAAAGCTCTAGATTTTTTAACTTGTCCCTGCCCTGTTTGCCGTGGCTTGTGTTTCTCTTTAGAACGCAGGAGGGATGCTTGGAACCCGTTGTCCTCATTAGAAATTCTGACTAGGAAGACTGGATTTAACATGTTTAACATCACAGCTTCTTAAAAGGCAACTTAGATCTGATCACTGAGCAAACCAGTGTTAGGAGAGGGTAAGAGGGTCGCTTGAACGTGTCAGGGTTAGCCAGAGTGCCCTGTTGGGAATCAGGAAGCTTTCAAGATGTGGGAAGGACTGGGCTGAATGCTGGAGGGTGCAAGACAAGGAACGCCCATAGCAGGGCAAAAACACATGCCCAGAATAAATCCAATTAGTCTAATGTTCATGACAGTGATCTATGATGTTGTTACTCTTATTTTATAGATGAAACAGAGGTTTACACTATTTGTTATTTTTACTCTTTTCTAAGCATAAGAGAGGGCTTGTATTTTTACTGATAACTGATCAAAATATTATCACCCAGTAAATGTGTATTTTATTTTCTGTATTCAATTTGATAAATAATTTTAATGACTGTTTTGTTCATTATTTGCACTCTAATGAGTAGAATAATTAATTTTAACACCCTCTATGTTACTTACTTTAACTTTCATGATTCATTTCACACATCTCATTTACCTAGTGATGGGTAAACAGCATCAGTACTGAAAGAAATTGACTGTTCTACTTAATGCCCATCCCAATATATTCAAAAGGGTTCCCAGTCTGGGCCATTAAAAATAATTCATGAGAACATCCAAATGTGCTCCCTGTTTTCCCCAATCCTCTCCCTAAATCCTTCTCAAGTGACCTCACTCTTATTGACTCCCCATCTTTGACACATAATTACCATGTATTTATCTGTGGTATTTTGGCTCTCTGAGCAAATATTCACTCAGAATGAGGCAAAAACACTCAGTGTAAGATCCCAAGGGAAACCAATCATGCGCCCTTTATCTGACTGCACACAGAGAATGTAGGAACAGTTGTCAAGTGCTTTTTAGCCTATATAGAGATAAGAGATTTCCCTCTCACCTTCCAATTATCATTGCCCGTTGGAATGTTTATCCAGTGTCAGGAAAACAACCTCAGGCATTCATTTTCTACTTTAATAGCCTGGCAGTTACAGGTGGCCAAATGGCTTTTATTTTTTTCAGATAGCCCATTGTCATTATTTTAACTGTCTATTGATTAGATATTACTTGGTGTCACAGCCTGGACTGGGTTTTAAAAATATATGACATGAGACAATCAGGGTTGAGGTTTTAGATGATTTGGTCTGACTGGTGTTGGATTCTACCTTTCTCAATCAGATTGTGCCTTTTCCTGGCGACAGAAACGTGCATACATTACAGTCACAAGATCAACCTTTCATATCAGAACTAATGGGATGCAGAGTTTAAACAAAAAATAATCCCAGCAACGCTGTCAGCATTCATATCAGAGTAGCAGCTGGTGCCTCCCTTCTCTCTCCAAACCTGTCTACATGCAAGATGTCAAAGGGTCACAGTTGCTTACAGCTGTGACTCCCTGAGATCTTTCATCAGGATAACCAGCTTCGAGGTGATGCCATCTGTCTTCATTTATCTCTGCAGAATGTCCAGTTTAGAAAAATGAAATGTCTGTCTGAGTTAAGATTTTTGTATAGTCAAAGCCAAGCTGAAATCTCTGTCAATTAATTTTTCCCCCATGTTATAGCATAAACTACTTTAATACAGTAAACAGCAAACGTAAACAAAAACTGAAAACACAGAAAACACTTTGCTTTAGAAATAAGACAGAAATAAATTTTTCTGATGTCAATTATTCATATTTCCTGTGTGTATGACTTGCAAAAAAAGCAGCCCCTGTGTCCTGATGAACTGCTCCTTGTCTGAGGGCTGCAGTTATGAAGATCGGCCTGCGGTGTCAACAGTACAGCACAGCTGTCTGCTAGGAGTTTTCCTCAAGGTGAGGAAGCCAAGAGTGCATTCTAAAATTGAAATGGCATCAGAAATATTAGGTTCACAAAATATAATTACTTGAACTGAAAACTGACCTGGTCACAAGAACAAATGCACCATGTGATATAACAGCATTTTAGGAGGTCTCTAAAAGAATTTACTTTCCTATGCGCTTACTCAGGCAGCTGTGATATTCACCAGCTACAGAGCCCTCCTCACCCGGAGCTGTTTTTATTACAGATAATAATTCTGACTCAATTTCTTTATATCCACTGTTTGAGGCACATATTAAAAAGTTTCTTATAGCCACCACCAATATGAAACAAATGCAAAACCTTAAAAAAGAATTTGACCATTGCATGGGTCAAAAAATGTTTAAAGAAGCATGTATCAGGCAGTCATTTTAAGAGTGTTTTTCTTCGCCTTTTTCTATTCCTAGATTTTTTTTCTTCTTGCTACTGGACCAGCCCAAAGGAAGCAGAATATAAATGTGATTTATGATAGCAGGAGGCTGCACTGTTGCTGTGATTGCAAGCATTGCTGCTATTTAATGTAGTGACATATTATATAATGCATTAACATAACATATGAACCATCATTATCAAAACATATCTGAACATAAAGCATAAGCTAGTCATCATTTTGGAAAGCAAAGCAATCCTTGAAGGTCCCTAAAGGGTGAGACAGATGATGAGTAAGTGGTGAAAAGAAGGATAGGGTTCACAAGATTTCATGCTTATGGAAGGA